GGTTGTTATTTTTGCATGCCCTAAAGTTGTTCTGACTCATAGAGACGGGTAGGACAGACTAGAACTGCCCCATAGGGTTTCCTAGGCTGTAATCTTTACAGGAGCAGATCCCCAGGTCTTTCTCCTGAGGAGCCACTGGGTGGGTTTCAACCTCTGATCTTTCGGTTAGCAGCCTGGCTCAACAGTTGAGCCACCAGGGCCCCTAGTCCCATGTTACAAGGGAGTTATTTCTAAAAATCTTAAAGAATGGTTACTTCCAATGTTATTAAAATTGTACTGTATGTTTAAAAAAATGAGATGGGAAATTTCTCAATTCATTTTACAAATCTAGATTAACCTTAATCTCCAAATCTGCTAAACATAGCAAAAAAAAAAAAAGTAGATCAATTTCATTTATGAATATCTATGTAAACTTCAAAATAAAATAGCAAAGAAAACCCAGCTACGTAGTAAAATAATATTCTGTAGTCTCTTAGTAATGTTTTTCCTTTACTCCCCATTAGCCACACTCTGTATATTTTCTTTACTTAAATTTGCTCAGTGTCCCAAATTGCTAATATGTGTATTTAATTCTTCGTCTGCAACCTTCTGTCTTTTAGCTAGCTTGTGGAGATACTCCCCATGTACTGAATGGATGGACGAATAATTAATTAACAACTGATGCAGTGTAAAAGCGCAAAGGGCAAAATTAGAAGACAAAGAAAATAGATTGCAAATTTCCCAAATTTGTCCAATAGGCAACACGGAAAGAGAAAACACAATAAAGGGGAGGAAATTAAGAAATACTAGAAGCAAATTTCCCAGAGCTGAAGAAAGACAAGAGTTTTTAGATTAGAAGAGATTTCAGAAAAAAAAATTGTGGAAGGCTGAATATCTGTCAGGTACCCTATTTATCTCATCCACACCAGTTATCTCTGCCTTCATTGCCTATTTACAATTCTTTAGATTGTAGATAACCGATTATAATGCAAAATTAGTTGTGTCAGATGAAATACAATGGATCATTGCCCTATGGATTAAAAAAAAAAAAGAAAAAAACCTGTTGCAATCAAGTCGATTCCAACTCATAGCAACCCTCTAGGACAGAGTAGAACTGCCCCACAGAATTTCCAAGGAGCACCTGGTGGATTTGAACCGCTGACCTTTTGGTTAGCAGCTGTAGCTCTTAACCACCACACCACCAGAGTTTCTGCCCTATGGATAAAGCCCAGTTTTTGCATCTATTTGAAATGGCCTATTCCTAGATATATTCTAGGAAAATATATTGGAAAAAAAATCAAAATCTACATGTTACTTACAAAGGAACGTGAATTAGAATATAGACTGAGCTTGTCTATCTAAACAGAGACTAATAGCTAACAAAATACTTTTTCAAAGTACATTTATTAACATCTTTAAGTTTCTCATTAAGTATTTCATTAATTGCTACTTGAAACTTGAGCCTTTCTGTTCAAATGTAATTTCGTTCAAGGTTGAGTAAAGGAATTGGGAACTAACATAATTTATTTGCACATTCTTGTTCCTGTTAGTGCCATCGAGTTGGTTCTGACTCATAGCGACCCTATATACAACAGAAGAAAACAGTGCCTGGTCCTGTGCCATTCTCACAATTGTTGGCAGCCACCGTGTCAATCCATCTCATTGAGGGTCTTCCTCTTTTTTGCTGATCCTCTAATTTACCAAGCATGATGTCCTTCTGCAGGGACTGATCCCTCCTGATAACATGTCCAAAGTATATGAGACATAGTCTCGCCATCCTTGCTTCTAAGGAGCATTCTGGTTGTACTTCTTCCAAGATAGATTTGTTTGTTCTTTTGACAGTCCATGGTATATTCAGTATTCTTCACCAGCACCACAATTCAAAGGCATCAATTCTTCGGTCTTCCTTATTCATTGTCCAGCTTTCGCATGCATATGATGCAATTGAAAACATCATGGCTTGGATCAGGGGCACCTTAGTCTTCAAGGTGACATCTTTGCTTTTTAACACTTGAAAGAAGTCTTCTGCAGCAAATTCGCCTAATGCTATGTGTCTTTTGATTTCTTGACTGCTGTTTCCTGGGTGTTGAGTGTGGATCCAGGTAAAATGAAATCTATTTGCACATAGTCACAGGGAAACAAGGAAGTAAAATGCATACAAACTTGGAGTTGAGAGTTAAATTTCCTTGGTTTAAATCCAGACTCCACAATTTACTGGCTATGAGACCTTAAGGAAACTACTTATGCTCTGTAAATCAGAAACAGTAATAATAATTTATTCCTCTGTAAATCAGAAACAGTGATTATAATAATACATACCTCAAGGTTATTATGAGCATTAAATGAGATAGTGCTGCAAAATATTTAGAATACTGACTAGTACATGGTATGTATTTGGTATATAAATTATATGCAAAATAATAGAAGGATGGTCATTGGAGAATTGTTTGCAAAATGGGAAACAAACTAAAAGCCCATTGATTAACAGTGGAATGGTTGCATTTATTACAGGCTATTGGTACCATGGAATACATGTAGAGTTTGTAAAAACTGATATCTAGCTGTGATGATATGGAAAGATCTCTGTAAGTGAAAACTGCAAGTTGCAGGTTAATAATATTGTGTATGGCATGAGCACAAGAGTGCAAAGGGAAAAAAAAATCACAAAATGGTCAACAAACAACCAAACTTATATTTGAATGTGTGTGTGTGTGTGTGTGTGTGTGTGTGTGTATACAATGATAAATGTATCCATAGGCAGTTTTTTTAAATAATAGTTACCTTTGGGAAAGGAAGTAGGTGTGGTATATTCTAAATATCTGATTTGTTTAAATATTTTGTATATTTATGTATAATCTGTAAAATTATTTAAGAAAATCTTAGTATTGCTTTTCAAAAATATTTAATTTTGAAGATACTGTAACGTATGTGCTTAGTAATTGTCCCTGGGTAGTACATTTTGGTTTGACAACTCTTCTGTGGATTTTTCTGTGTATTGTTTTTGTTCTTGTCCTTAACTAAACAGTGAACTTAATGAGCTGCTAGATGATGATAAAAGTACACTTTTTGGATGTTTTTAGATAGCTAGCCAGGGAGCAGCATCTTTGATTTGTATGTGAATTTTAGATTCCGAGGTGCTGACGTATTTGAATTAGGTGACTTCAGACGTAAATTGGAAACTCCATTCTGAATTAAATTAAGATTTTCGTTTCTACTCTTTTAAAGAAATCAGTCAGCCTTTCGTCAATGTTTACTGCTTAAAAAACAAAAGCCAGAACTTCTAACCTAGATAAAGATTTACCTGGTGCCTGTTAAATGTTTACACAAGCTGGCCCCAGAGAATTCGCCTTACTGATAATACTAAATAAAGTTAGTACCTATAAATAATTTAATAGCCAAGATAAGTATATATCAAACTGTATCCCCATTCTGACTTCCAAATTAATTTTCACTCATGAAGATTTTTCCACTGCAATCTACCCGTTCTTTGCAGATTGATACCTAGGTAGAAACTAAGTTTGTTAAAATAAGGAGAGAGATCACAGCTGTAAAAGTCTTGACTGTTGGTAATACAAGGAGTGCAGGGATTCCGGCTTTAACTTATGTAAATAAACTTACATCTTAAATGTGAATTCCCGAGCCCTATCTCACTCTCCCTTGGATGGATGGGCAGTGTTTACATTTCAAAAGACTTTAGATTTAGAGCTGATTTCATCTTCATTCTACATTTCAAAGACTCCAGTTAAGCTTGAGTCAGCTTGCAAACCATCACTAAACCCCTACACCAGAAATGATGTTTATGCATTTCACTTTAGAAATACTGCCTTAATGAAATTATATCAACTATAAGAGATTTGTGTTAGAAAGTTTGTTTAACCACTCTTTGTAAATTTTCCTTCCTTCCCTTGAAAATGCTGTGATGTGAACTCATTTGCATTTTTTTACTCTGCTTGTTAAATACGCCGTTGTTCTGCCTGCAAAGCAGAACACACACTACATTCGATTTGAATGCCACATGTTTGCCCTTGAAAGGAAATTATTCTTTCAATAAAATTTTCGTTTTAATATCTGTCAGAGCGTTAGTCTAGTGTTTCTATTAGGAAATATATTTTCTCACATTTCTAGGAACTTCCATGGATGCCTATTTTATGACATTTACCAACTACTACCATGTGTTAGTGGGAATCGACTTGACATCAATGGATACCATATGTTTTGGAGCCCTGGTGGTACAGTGGTTAAGCTTTCAGCTGCTAACAAAAGGTCGGTAGTTTGAATCCACCAGCCACTCCTTGGAAACCCTATGGGGCATTTCTACTGTGTCCTATAGAGTCACTATGAGTCATAATTCAACTCCACGGCAATGGGTTTGGTTTTTTTGGGGCCATGTTTTTTTATGTGTGTAATTTCCCAGGTTGTTCTCCTAACCATAATCTGCTTGAGGACAAAATGTATGCCGGATTTCTCATTGTGTTCCTCACAGTACAATATTTTGCATTTAATTGGTGCTCAATAAATAGTTCTTGAATTAATAATATTTTAAATTATTGTATTACAAAAACTAAACCCATTGCTGTCAAGTCGATTTCGACTCATAGTGACCCCATAGGACAGAATAGAACTGCCTCCATAGGCTTTCCAAGGAGCAGCTGGTGAATTCAAACTGGTTAGCAGCTGAGCGCTTAACCATTCTGCCACCTAAAAAATTCAGTGGATTAAAAATAGGTGTTGCTAGTTCTGAACAGATTGATTACATGTAAGAGTTTTATAATAATTCATATCATCTAACATTTAGATACTTTAATTATAAAATATTTTCATGATCGTTTGTCTCAGAAAAGTTATTTTTTTATGATTATATCAGAAGTTTTTCCCCATAAAAATTCCACAATCAAGACCCATAAGTACAGAGTTAGAATTCTGTTTTTCTTAAATCTAACTGTGAAACTGCAAGGAAAATAATTTAGAGCACAAAAAACCTTATTGTTTTTTGTTTTCTTTGCTTTTTGTATTTTTTTCAGACTTGGGATGTAGCTTTGTCACGGACTGCTAGAGCATGGGGGAAAAAATGTTTGGTTACATCTAATACTTATTTAGAAGAACTAAATATGGCCCATCCTACATTTAATGGTATTGGTGAAAATACCTGGATTGGCCCCGAAAATGAATTTACTGCAAGTATTGCTATCAGAAGTTGGTATGCAGAGAGCAACAACTATCATTATGAAAATGACAGTTGTACTGATGAGTGTTCTCATTATTTGCAGGTATCTAGTTTTTATATTATTGTTAATTAAGTAGACTTCTTAATTGCTTTACTCTCTAGTTTTTATTGATTATATTTCAAATATATAAATAAACTCAATTGGTAAAATGTTTACTTCTAAAAGAAAGAAAATTCTAATCACTCCTTGATACTCAAAATGCCTGTAATTCCATCTGTTGTATGAAGCATGTCATTAAAACATTTCTTTAAATTTGGTAAACCTAATCGCCATACCCAAAGACAAAAGGCACTTTTCTAAAAATAATTCACACTGGAAAAGGAAGCAAGAACCCAGCAAATAAAAATTATTTTAAACTTAATCACCATAAATATAAATAAAATAAGTATGTTTTGCATAGATCAATACATGTACTATTATCTGATAGATTGAAATATTTTAAATTCAGTTTAATAGCAGTATTTCCCTGCCTCATGTTCTAGCAATTCACCCTTACACTTTATGCGCCAAGAATACTGGACCACTTGTTGTTTTCTGTCCGTACCTTCATTATTTTACATATCACATTGTTTAATGATCATTTATTTATGTATATGATACTACATTGAGGTCAGGGACTCTGTCTTTTTATTTATTTGTTCTCAACACAATAACATGACATTTTTAGGTCTTTAATAAATATTTGTAGGAGTAATAAAGAAATTATTGCACGAACTTGCAAGTTTATTTAAAAGATGACTATTTTTTCAATCAATAGACTTGTGTGTCATGATTTATGTAGAACTTAAAATCTTGGGATTTGTTCATGTTGAATTCATGTCTTATTTCTTCAAATGAATTATGTTTCAAAAATTTTTTGATCAGCTCTTTCCTCTTCTAGAAAGTTGTAGTGGTCCTCCACTGACTTACATCAAAGCTAGACTCCTCAATATGACCTCAAGACTCTCAGTAAACTAACCAAGTCTAGCTCTTGACATACTTCTCTTTATTTTTTACTCCTTAATTCTGCTCAGTTGTAGCAACCTGAATGTTCTTCTTTCCAGGACTTGACCTGCTTGACTTCACTTCAACACTTGAAGACAGTCTATTCTCTACTCTTTCAATGCATTACTCTCTCTCTTTTAAAATCACACTTTTAAAACCACTGAGACTTGAGATTAAAAACAAAAAAGAAAATAGAAAGTTTCTTCTCTCTTCCACAGAGGTTAACAAAACAAGTGCTTTTTGAACTATTAGAATGATTAAAGCCATCCAGAGAATTTCTTAAATGTGTTTAATTCCCATCTTTCATTCCAATTCAAGACCGGTTTTTCCTTTTATAGCTCTGTTCTTATGCCCCCCCGCCCTTTTTTTAAATAACCAAGTCCAGACTCTCTTTGTATCTTCTAATGGAATTTCTTCAACAAAAGGAAAGATAAATGCTGCTAGCATTCACTTATTCTGTATTCTTGTATCTCTTTTCCTTCCCTCCTATACTTAGTGTTTCTCTTTTTCTCACTTCTCTGCACAACTTCCAGCGTTCCAAAGCTTTGTGTCCTCTCCGTTTTCCTTCTTCCTCCCTGCCTGTGACCTACAACTTTCAGATTCAACCAGAGGCTGAAAATTGACTCATCGGGTATGTTTTTCTTAGGCTCTGAAGCATTATTCTGGATCAGTATTTCTCAAACTGTTTTTTCTAGGAATATAGTATTGGTAGAATCTATTGTGTTACTCTAAACACAATCTTAGAAATGCCGCCCTAAGTCCATGATAACGCTCTACCTACATCTAAATGAAGAATAGTTATACTCCTTGAATCATCTGGTTAAAGATTATATGTGAATGGTGTATATTTATAACATGCTGCAGTAAATGTTTAGGATTATATTTTATGTTTTCTTTGAAAATTTTGTTTTAGCTTGTTTGGGACAACTCTTACAAGGTTGGTTGTGCTGTTACTCCATGTTCAAGAATTGGACATATTAAACATGCAGCAGTTTTCATATGCAACTATGCACCAGGGTAAGTTCAATAAAATAATATAAAAACAAATTGGAAGATTTTCATGGTTAAGTTTTTCAATATGTTCTAAGTTTATTTGTGAACTATAAAAGAATTAAATATTGAATATAGTATTAATCAAGCATTAAATAATTGAAATAAAAAAATTCAATAATGAAACAAGTCATAACTTGGACATACTGATTTTACTTATAGAATATCTTTTAAGTATCTTCTAGAGGAATGTTAACTAGTACACTATTTCACAATATCTAGCCTAATTAGCATAAGTTTTAAATCATTTTCCAAATTACTTTAGTCCCCTATTTATAATAAAAGTGAATAGAAAATAAGATTGTTTTTGTTGGATGCCGTTGAGTTGGTTCTGACTCATAGCGACCCCATGTGACAGAGTAGAACTGCCCATAATGTTTTCTTGGCTTATCTTTATGGAAGCAGATCAGCAGGTCTTTCTCCCCATGGAGTAGTTGGGTGGATTCAAACTATCAACCTTTTGGTTAGCAGCAGAACACTTAACCTTCGTGCCACGAGGGCTTCTCAGAAAATAAGGTTAGATATGTTGAAATTTATATTATAAGAATCGTTTCAGGAATACATCAGTTTTAAAAGATTGTCTCTGTTTCCTAATGCTGATGTATCAGAAATGCCACAAGTACGTGACTTTAAAGAACAGAAATTTATTTTCTCACAGTTTAGGAAGTTAAAAGTCCAAATCAGTATCCCTATCCTGTCAATTCCTTCCTTATTGGTAGCCTAGGCATTCCTTGGTTCCTTGGTGATCTTCACATGGCATCTGTCTTCCCTGGTTTTTGCTTGCTTGTCTCTGTCTATTCTGCTGTGTTTATAACTCAGAATTGATTACTTGGATCCACAATCAACGGCCCATGGAAGCAGCAGTCAGGAAATCAAATGATGCATTCAATTGGGCAAATCTGCTGCAAACAACATCTTTCAAGTGTTAAAAAGCAAAGATGTCACTTTAAGGGCTAAGGTGCGCCTGACCCAAGCCATGGTATTTTCAGTGGCCTCATATGCAAGCAAAAGCTAGACAATGAATGAGGAAGACCAAAGAAGAATTGATGCCTTTGAATTATGGTATTGGCAAAGAATATTGAATATACCACGGACTGTAAGAAGAAGGAACAAATCTATCTTGGAAGAAGTACAGCCAGAGTGCTCCTTAGAAGCGAGGATGGCGAGACTTTGTCTCACATATTTTGGACGTGATATCAGGAGGGACCTGTCTCTGGAGAAGAACATCATGCTGGTAGAGGGGCAGTGAAAGAGAGGAAGACCCTCAATGAAAAGGACTGACACAGTGTCTGCAACAATGGGCTCAAGCATAGCAATGATTGTGAAGATGGTGCAGGACCCAGCAGTGTTTCATTCTGTTGTACATAGGGTTGCTATGAATCAGAGCTGACTGGATGGCACCTAACAACAACAGGACACACCCAACACTGGTATGGCCTCATTAACGTAACAAAGAAAGCACTATTGTTGCCCAGTGGAAACCCCATGTTCTTTTCAGTGCAACTTTTCTCAGCCAATAAACAAGAGACAGAGGTGGGAGAGTGGAAAGTCACCTTTATTTCCTTGCTCAAGGAAAGGAAGCAGTTGGGGACGCCGCTGCCAAGACTGCTCAGTGAGGGCAAGGGGAAAGGTTACTTTTAAGGGTTTACAGGTAGGAAGTTCATACAAGTTACATCAACATTCTTAATCATACTACGCAGGCGCAATGGGGTTTACATATAACTTCATGGATCGGGTGTTCAGAAAATGGCAGTTAAACTCCACCCAGAGGTGGGGAAGTTACTATGTATGAAGTCTAAAAGGTTATCCTGAATGTCAATATGGTGCCTAAACTGGTTTTTGCCAATTTCCTCTAGTTCTGGGCAGCAGTTAAGGAGAAGGGAATCAGAATTTTAATGTAAAGTTACGGGGCATGCCAAGCAAGCTGCTTGAGGCACTGGAGTTTTCTGCAGCCTGGGGACCTCTGTTTTACTATTCCCAAACAGGGATTACATCCATGGGTATGATGGTGGTGTTATGTGTCCTCGAGTCGATTCTGACTCATAACTCCCCTACATGACAGAGCAGAAATGTCACATAGTGTTTCCCAGGCTGTAGTCTTTATGGGAGCTGATAGATAGCCAGGTCTTTTCTCCCATGGAGTCACTGGTGGGTTCAAACCACCGACCTTTCGGTTAGCAGCCGAGCTCTTAACCATTGTACCGCCAGGGCTCCTTATTCACCGGTGTAGGGGTTAGGATTTCAACACATATTTTAGGAGGACACAATTCACTCCATAACAAATATAACAAACAAAAATTGATCACCTCTGGAGGTTGCCTTTTTATTTGGGGCTAGTCTGGAATCAAAAAATGTCAGAGATGGAAGAGCACTAAAAGTCTTCTAATCAAGCTATCCATATGAAACTTGAATATTCTTTCCACCTCTTCACCCTGTGGTTATTTACCCTATACCTGCAAACCTCCCTATCATGGGAGATAACTACCTTCTCAAATAGCCTCTGTCTCTGGAGAGCTCTGTTGGAAAGTTGCAGGTCAATAAGCAATATATAATATAATAAGCAATATTATAATAACTTCCAAATAAGTGAGACCATATCCTTGTCAACATCTCAAATAAACAGTAAAAAAAGTCCACATACTAGGATTGAGAAGAAATTTCTGCCAAATAGAATACTTCTGAGACTAAACACACACACAAAAATTCATTACAGTATTGCCCTAGATAGAGAAACCAATATATAACTACATGATGTAAGTAGAATTGAACTCAGAAAGCCCTTTCCTCACAGGAAGCTCTGACCATTGTGGTTGTTGATAGGTGCCGTAGAGTCAGTTCCAACTTATAGCGACCCCTGCATCCCAGAACGAAACAATGCCCAGTCCTGCGCCATGCTCATAATCATTCTAATGCTTGAGCCTATTGTGTGCAGCCACTGTCCCGATCCATCCTGTTGAGGGTCTTCCTCTTTTTCGTTGACCCTGTACTTTACCAAGCATGATGTCCTTCTCCAGGGACCTATCCCTTCTAATGACACGTCCAAAGTATGTGAGACGTGCTCTCGCCATCCTTACTTCTAAGGAGCATTCTGGTTGTACTTCTCCCAAGACAGAATCGTTTGTTCTTTTGACAGTCCGTGGTATATTCGATATTCTTCGCCAACACCACAATTCAAAGGCGTCAGTTCTTCTTTGGTCTTCCTTATTCATTGTCCAGCTTTTGCATGCATATGATGTGATGGAAAATACCATGGCTTGAGTCAGGCACACCTTAGTCTTCAGGTGACATCTTTGCTTTTCAACACTTTAAAGAGGTCTTTTGCAGCAGATTTGCCCAATGCAATACCTCATTTGATTTCCTGACTGCTGTTCCATGGGTATTGATTGTGGATTCAAGTAAAATGAAATCCTTGACACTTCAGTCTTTTCTCCATTTATTATGATATTGTTTATTGGTCCAGTTGGGAGGATTTTTGTTTTCTTTATGTTGAGGTATAATCAGTACTGAAGGCTGTGCTTCAAGTCCTCTTCACTTTTCCACAAGCAAGATTGTATCATCTGCATAACACAGGTTTTTAATGAGCCTTCCTCCAATCCTGATGCCCCAGTCCTCTTCATATAGTCCAGCTTCTCAGTTCACTTCCTCAGCATACAGATTGAATAGGTATGGTGAAAGGATACAGCCCTGACACACACCTTTCCTAACTTGAAGCCACGCAGTATCCCCTTGTTCTGTCGAACAACTGCCTCTTGATCTGTGTACGGGTTCCTCATGAGCACAATTAAGTGTTCTGGAATTCCCATTCTTCGCAATGTTATCCATAATATGTTATGATCCACACAGTCAAATGCCTTTTCATTGTCAATAAAACAGGTAAAAATCTTTCTCGTATTCTCTGCTTTCAGCTAGGATCCATCTGACGTCAGCAATGATATCCCTGGTTCCACCTCCTCTTCTGGATCCGGCTTGAATTTCTTGTTTATTGTTGTAGTTTAAGTGAAAGTTTAAATTCCAAGTTAGTTTCTCATACAAAAATTCATACATACATTGTTATGTGACAGTAATTGCTCTCCCTATACTGTGACAGCACACTCCTCCTTTCCACCCCTGATTTCCCATTTCCATTCTGCCACCTCCTAACCCTGTCTGCCTTCTCATCTCACCTCTGAACAGAAGCTGCCTATTTAGTCTCATGTATCAACCTGAACTAAGAAGCATACTCTTCACGAGTATCATTTTATGTCCCACAGTCCAGTCCAATCGTTGTCTGAGGAGTTGGCCTTGGAAATTGTTTTAGTTCTGGGCTGACAGAGAGTCCGGGGGCCATGCTTTCCGGGGTTCCTCGAGTCTCAGTCAGACCATTAAGTCTGGTCTTTTTACTAGAATTTGAGTTCTGCACCCCACCTTTATCCTGCTCCATCAGGGACTCTCTGTTGTGTTCCCT